CACACACACACACACACACACACACACACACACACACACACACTCATACATTCACTATTAACCTGGTACCGACCACTAAAGCAAAAAAAGCTTGCTGCACCCCCTCACACATCCATCCCCTGTACCAACACACACAAGGCCTACACAAAACTTGAGGCTTGCACTATGCAACCTCATACACCTGGTGCCCCACCCACCGGCCCCAAGCTCACTCCCCTTACTCACCAACCCATGTCCTTAATGAGACCAGCACAAAACAAACACGGATACCTGGTGCCCCACCCACCGGCCCCTAACCCGCACCTCCTTTGCACCACCCCGTGACCTCCCCACCCATACCCTACATTCACTCACATTGCACCATAACAAAATTAATACGGACATCTGATGCCCCACTCACCGATCCCAAAACTCACACCCCTTACCCACCTACACCTAGCACATAAGGCCTACACAAAACTTGAGGCTTGCACTATGCAACCTTGTACACCTGGTGCCCCACCCACCGGCCCCAAGCTCACTCCCCTTACTCACCAACCCATGTCCTTAATGAGACCAACACAAAACAAACACGGATACCTGGTGGCCCACCCACTGGCCCCTAACCCGCACCTCCTTTGCACCACCCCGTGACCTCCCCACCCATACCCTACATTCACTCATATTGCACCATAACATAATTAATACAGACATCTGATGCCCCACCCACCGACCCCAAAACTCACACCCCTTACCCACCTACACCTGACCTCCCCATCCATCCCACGCATTCATCCACACCGATTCCACAATGAAGCCCGCACGAAACAAAGCACAGGCACTTGCTGGCCCACCCACCGACCCCAAACTCACAACCCCTACCCACCAACCCGCGACCTCCCCACCCCTCCCCACGTTCACATATAACAAGGCCCACACAAAACAAACACTGGCACCCGGCTCCCCACCAGCCCCTGCAAACCAACCTGTCAGCACAAAAAAGAAAACGCTTCCCCAGAAAAAGCAAATGAAAGAAAAAACAAAAAAGAAAAACGCAAAAAGAAACCCCCACAAAAAATAACAATTTGAACTTCTGTACAGACACCTCCCGCTAAAGAAGCGCAACGTGCCCTCCCGTCTCCTACGCCCATACTGCCTAAAAAGCTCTCCACTTGCCTACACTACCAGCCACGCTGCACGCAAAACAAGCACAACGGGCCGCAACCCACACGTCCTCTGCCAGCGTGGAAACGACGTTGCACCCTCCAAAGAAAACCCCTGCCTGCGCAGCACGCAGCACCAAGTAACCATGCCCCACATGCAATGCCATCCCCCTACACGTCCTAGCCCTGCAGCTTCATTCAACCGCCCTCACAGCCCACACCCGCCACCTCCTACAACCCACCACCACCAACTCCTTCTGTCGCCTTCCCCCACCTCCCTGCAACAATCCTACAACCCTCCACGTGCACCCCACCACACTCACCGCATGCACTATTACCCATTACACCCCCACCATCACCGCCAACTCACACACTCGAGTGTATTCCACACGTACCCTCAACACATCGAAACCTACCCCTATTGTCATTCCCACAGCATACACTCACACACAATGGTTGAGCCTCCCCTTCCCCATCGTCTACTGCTACTTATCTGGTCCCACCACCACCCGGTTCCTCAGTCTCTACGATGCCGCAGCGGCGGAACCTACTGTGGGGACGATCTCCTCCTCCTCTGCTTTCCTCTTCTGCTCTCGTGCCTTCACTGCGAAGAGTACGGCTACTGCCATAGCCATCTTCAGCTTGAAGGTCCCCATCATTCTCTTTGCAAACTGTCACCTCAAGCCTCTCCTCCGGACTGAGGCCTACAGTTGGTGAGACAGTGATCGACAGTTGCAGTGCATCATCCTGCCCTGACACTGCGATCGCCTGTGGATTTAGAGCCACCACCTCAAAGACGAGTACAATGGCTGCAGTGGATGAGCACACCAACGACGTCGACATCGACGAGCACATGGTGAGCTGATAGCCTTCTAGCTACCCTCCCCTATGCTATGCTCTCTACCTCCTTCTCTCACCCCCCCACCGGGAGCCAGAGGTTAAAATACCCTCTGATGAGCCGTAACGGCGCAAACGGCGAAAAGCGCTTAAGGGGACGCGCCACCCCTCCTCCACTGGCCATATGGCCAGTGTCTGATGGTCATTCCATCTTTGCTCCCCTCTCTCCCCCTCCCTCTCCTCTTCATCATCTCCTATTGCTCCCTTGCAGGTTGTAAACATGACGTATGCATGAAAGGATTACGTGGCTGTCCTAGCAATGTGAGTATGACTGAGGATCGGACCAGGTAAGGATTCCCATGTTATGGGTTGCTATGGTAGCGTTATGCTTGTACACACACTCTTTCGGACTTGGTCCTGTTTGCAATGCGGGGGTAGATCCCACCCGCTGATCCTCACATACCTGGTCCATCTCGGTTGGCTCGACGGGGTCGTTCGCACGACATATCCTAGCCATGATAGTTTTTGTTCCTCCTCATCCGCCGCCTCCTCCCCTCTTCCTACCCTCCTCTCTCTCCCTCTCACACTCTCCCTCTCTCCCTTTCCCTCTCTTTAGCTGGTTCTCCCCCTCTCTCGCCCCCCCTCTCTCTCTCTCTCTCGCTCTTTCTCTCTTCCTCTCTCACGATCTTTCTCACACACACTCTTCCTCTCTCCCCCTCTTCTTTTTTTCCCCCTCCCCCCCTCTCTCACACACTCTCTCCCGCACTCCCGCTCTCGCTCCCCCACACTCTCTCTCTCTCCCTCTTTCCCTCTCTCCATCTCTCGCTCTCCCTCTATTTTTTACGCAATATATTCACCCTCATTAGTAGTATATTTTCCACCCACCTCCCCAGTCAATCGCCCCTCATCACCACTTACCCAACTTCCCTCCCACCTTTCCCGTATGCACACCCACTCCCTGCTCGGATCTCCTCTCCCCTTCCCTTCTCCCCCACTTGCCCCGCATCCTACACCATACGTCCCTTCCCTCTACCACTACCCACCATGACTCCTCACGCGTACCCCTTCCCAACAAATTGCTAGACAAAACCCGCAGTCCCCTGCACAAATGATCCTACGAAACACTCCGCCCCCACCATTTCTTACTGTTCCTCACTCCCTACAGGCGCGCTCAATCCCCCCTCCCCTCTTCTCTTCTTTTCAGTTACCCCTCACTTGACGCTCAACCCATTTTGATTGATCATCACTAATGACTTCTCCTCTATGCCTGTTTTCAAAGGTAAAAGGGAAATGAGAACGTACTCCCCTCCTCCGGTTATAAAACGTAGCAACGCATGATGTCGCTCGATCTCAACATATATGCACGCAAAGGACAGGACGGATTCTTACTCTGCGCCAGCTCGACTCAGGCTACAGAAATAATGTATAAGGGTTGGAATCATGGGCGCACTGGCGAGCAAACCACGGCTAGCCTAGGACTGACGAATTGAAGAAAGGTTTATCGCCTCGGCATAAAAATATATCTAATACCACATCAAAGTGTAGGAAGAAGGTGCAATGACTATCTAGATTTTACCCTCTTTTACTATCGTATCAGTAACCCCCTGGCTACCCCCACTCCTTGCTAAACCCTAGAGAAAACGTTATTTTGACTCATGGTCTCACTCTAAAACTAGTCGCTTACTCAACTAGAATATGTTTGACTATGGGTTCATCCTCCTCCTATCGGCAAATGTGAGTGTTTTAATCCTGATTCTTTTGTGTTTTTTTTCGTATACTCTCTCGTAAGTGTGCGCAATAAATCCCTCAGGCGTAAGGTCGCAAACAGCGAAGAAAGTTTCAGACCGGATTCGTACTTATGAATCACGTCAGCCGCACGGATTGAGCGGCAAGTGTCGGTAGTAAAGACAGAAAGTCGAAGGGTGGTTATGAAAAGAAAGTGGTCGATGTGGCGAGAAGGGGATTGTGAGGAGATATAGCAAGGGGATTGTAAGAAAGTGTGCGCAAGAAAGAGGGAATGAGGAAATAATGTGTACAAGGTGGGGTCTAATTAAGGGAAATGATTAGCATAGGACGAAGCACATCAATGATGCATCCTTGTTGATGATGCGCACGGTAACATGTGGATCGTAGCGACAGGGGACCAAGATTTGTAGAAGATACAACAGGAGGAGGGAGGGTATACTATGACTATGTCATGATGTCGGGGCAAGGGCAGTTTTTAAAAAAAAACTTTCTCGGATAAAGGCTAAGAAATACCTAACGGGGTCAGTTGTACTATGGAAAGTTAGGTACCAAAGATGGCGACTGGAAGGTTTTTTGTGAGTGACGGGCTGGTAGATGCGCATTGTTTCCGCAATATTCTAGGCATTATAAGGAGCCTTTTGTTTTTGTTTTTATTTTATTTATTAATTATTATTATTTTTATTATTTTATTAATTTTTTATTTTTTATTTTTTATTTTTCAACTTTTTTTAAGTTTTTTAATATTTTTATTTTCAACTATGTCGTCGCACAGGTAGTAGTCAAACAAGACCCCGTCCTTTATGCCCATAAGCTACTTCTACTTCCCTAGTATCATTTTTCGTTTTTTGCCATCGTCATGACAAGTACGTAGTACTATCCAAAAACATATAATCATGACAGGCGCCTAATCTCACCATGAGCGCATGCTCAAAACATAAGTCATTGTTGTCACAAGGGAATTTCATGGATAATGTTTGAACAGACACCATCGTTATTCCTCTGGGCCAGCTTATGAGAAGATTTGTAGGAGATAATGGTGGGGAATAATTGACATGGGCAGCAGAAATATCAGAGATGCTATACTGGAGGATTGCAGCTGGTAGAAAAAAAGGGGGGGTCGTGTTGGTAGTGGAAACTCAATAGTGTGTGTAACTCAAGATAGTGAAGATAGCAAGGTGGCGGATCAAGATGACAACAAAAATTGTGTTATTTATCTTTTTGTCCCAAATTGATAAAACGTTTCCTCTACTTTGCCTCCCCCGCACTCCCCCATCCTTAACCCCCCCCGCCTATTCCCTTCCCGCATATACAATTTTTTGCACCCCACCCCACACCCTTTCTTCACTTACGACCTCCACCCACTCATGTATATGATTATCGCGATAATGTAATATACAGTAATACACGAGACGTCAGAAAATGTCGTGGTAGTAAGAATGGGCCAAGGAAACTAAGATTGAAAGCGTAAAGGATACATGTAGGACATGAATAGTAAGTATCCTGTCATTCTGATTTTCCCTTTTTTTTCCCCTCAATTCAAATGTTATTCTCCTGTACAACATGGTTGTTCTGACCGTGTTTGCTCTTGCCTTATATTTTATGTAGCACCATGATGTTGATCTCGACTCTCTTTTGAGTAATTTAGGCAATGGACACAGACTGACCACACTAGACACTTCATCTAAACAATTGATAGAGCCTGTTTTAAATACTTAGTTGCTCGTCCTTCCTTCCTGCTGTTTTTTATTTTTATTTTAAACAGAGATACCTCGATAGAACTCTATTGATTTATCATACCTATTACAAATTTTTCTTTGTATTCACGCATGTGTAAGCATCCAGTATAAGGAACCTTATGATGAAGCTGGGATGGTAGTAGTAACGAAAAGCAGATAGTGAGAAACCATATCAAAGAAATATGAGAGAACGATGCAAGGATAGAAGAAAGTAAGGAAATGACACCACATGGATGTAGTATGAATCAATAAGAATTCCACATAACAGACTGACGTAGTGACAAGTAAACTGAGATACCGAATGATGAAACACGTACGTGATGAAATGGCAGAAAATAGAATTGCTAAGGATAGCACTGATAGAAGGTGTAACCATGTATTGAACAAGCACTCAGTAGACTGTGCTTAATCAACAAACGAAATAAACAATCTCCCATGATCATAATATATGGCCGCGCAGCAACACCGACTGGAATCCCAGATAAGCATCGCACCAACAACATAATCATACACGCCACAGTCGCCTCAGAATAAATGGTGACCTAGCATACAGGCCACCAATCCTCCACCACTACTTTATGACCATGCCAACATTGCAAGTCGCAACAGAGTGCGCGGTACTAGTATACAAAGCAGTATAACATAATAAGAGAATAGGCATCGATGTAGTCTTAGAAAGAGAACGAATATGATACCACTAGGGGAAGATGATGATGAATTATCTATACGTCACGAAATGCTGAATAAACCATTTAGTGGACGGATAATTCCTTTTCTACCCCCCTAGCAACATACATATATTACTGTCTAACATAACCCGCTTACATAATATATAAAATGGGTGGACCACACATCACAAACAAGAAATATGATCCTAGCTTCTATACGCATGGCATATACCTCTTCTCTGCCAAATCACAAACAAAGAAAGAGTACACCAACTGTACCCAACCACGCAGCAAACAAGATCCACATATCCAAAGAAGTCTGCCAACCAACAAAACCGTCACACCAAACAACCATACACAAACATACAACATCAGCACATCCCATCTCATTCCACCTATACAAAGGTCCCTGCCCTCCTTGCACACCAGTACTCCTAGAATACAGCCCCTCCCAACAAACGCTTTCCAACGTCCCAAGCACCACAACAACGTAGATACCATGCAATATTGCGCCCCAGGCTTCGCGCACTTCCTCCGACACACACACAAAAAATTATCGTTCTTCCCCAAAAAATTCTTTGTGCATGACACACACATGATTAATCCCCGACCATGGAAAAGTTTCCGAACAAAAACGCATCCCTTCCGCACGCGTAAGTCGAACAAAAATACAGTATACCATCATACCTCTCCAACCTCCTACAACCGATATGACGGCCAAAATCAACCCCCACTCGCCCCTAACCCTCGCCCACTAATCCTGAAGAAACACCAGCATAGTACTCCCCCGTGGACGTAACCTCAAAAACCCGCCACATTGGCACAATCACAATGCCCAGCTCCACCTCGTCCTACCCTTTCATCACATATCAAAACGTAACTCTCCTTGCATGTAAGGACGGCCCACCAATGGAGGATCCAGAATGGCCTCCCACTCCACTAAACCAGCCATACGACCGTCATGCTCCATAGCCACCACCGATAATAGCATACGGACGATTTTTTCCACAATATCGTCACCTGCACCCACATGAGCATTAGGTACATCCTCATGCATCTTCGTCACATACACTATTGCGTCACGAAGGTCGTCTCCCGCATATCCCAGCCCCGCGTTAAACCGTAGGACATACTCCCCCTGAGCATCCACCTCATAACGACGATACCCCTTACGAGTCACGACAGTAACAAAAGTAAACTCCCGATTCAATGCTACATCCTGATACTCTGATAGCTCATAAACCATCATGGTCCTCCCATACACGTGACCACGACACACTAGCGTAACCGCCATCTCTCCATGTGCACTGCCGCACCGATAAGCCCCCGGAAAACTTGAACGCGGTTTTTTTCCCCCCGCGCGAGAAAATCCCTTTCCACTCCCTGCACACTTCAAAAGCGCGAACACCTCCTCACTCATGCGCACAAGCATATCCTCCACTACACCTTACACTGTTCTTATAGCTACCACTAGACCCTACCGCAGTATCACATCACACACGACCAATGCGTCTCATCTGCATATTCCTCCCCTTGCAACTAAAAATAGAAAAAACACCCCCACCTCCTTCCGGTAACCACTTACAGTACAGCCCCCCCCTACAGCCCGACGAACTCCCACGACTTATAAAATCAAAAATAAAAATGTAGTAATAAATTTTCATTCCTCCCCCCCCCCAAAAAAAACAAACCAACTGTCCACTATAACCTGTACACTGACCATGACATCCCCAGTTCTATACGGCGCACATGCCACCCCGTACCTGGTCCTACACAACCAACGGTACCTAGACACACGTGTACATCCATAACCTCCCTCCCCCCAAGTACCATGATTCACGGATACCTCCTTGCCCGAATGTGCATGCCCTTCGCACACCCAGAAAAACCCTCCCGCACATATGCAGTCCACACCGGACTACAAACACGAGTCCATCCTGACTGCACCGCGCACCGGTCACGGTTAACTCCCCAACTCCTCTCTGCTAGACGTAAACCCATTTTTTTCCTGTTTTGTTCACATACTATGGTTGTTGAGCTCACCTCACCACACACACACCCATGCTATGGTCCTCCCCCCCCCCTTTTTTTTCCCTTGTTTTGTTTCCTTTTCCAAAAACCAGCCATTCGCATACCATGTTTCTTTTGAACTTACTACACTACCCATATCCACCTCACTCGCAAACGTATAACACACATTGGCCCAATACTAACACTCAATCCCATGCATCGATTGATCGCTCACCTTGCAGAACGAATCCGACGGCAACGCCGGCTGGCACACCGAGCTCATCGAGAATGTGCGGCCCTTCACCCACCTCGCGCCTCCCAGCATCCACGCGCAGATTGCCATGCTCGCGCTTCCGCAAGCGGTTTTCCACAGAGTCCATGCCGCTTCCAACTCACAGGCACCATTCCTCGTCGAGAATCTCCTTTTCTTCGACTGGGCTATCATCCTGGGGAAATGGAAGCCCCTCCTAGGAGACGAAGATGCAGTCATCAAGACCTTTGCCCGGGATATCAACTCAATCATCCAACAGGCTGCCAAGCAAAATCATGACATGGACAAAATTGTGGCCACTACCGAGAAGGCCATCCTGGATATGCATGGCTTCAGCTCATCGCACATCCCCGTGGCTGGGGATGTAAGTAACGCTTACGAATCCAGTGAACACAAACTCAAAGTCGCCGAACAAATGAACCTCTCCCAAGCCGAAATGGATTGGTACATCCAAAGGGTGGCTGAGAGATAACAGCTAGCCGCCAAACCGATACCCTGCACCCCCACACCCCGCAGATCCAACAATTTCAAAATGTCCCCCGATGCCCCCTTCATCCCATTACAGACATCTCGATGGATCGAGAATGTCAGCGCCCAGTTTGAGAACAAACTCTGGCGCATGAATTTTTTCAACCACTCCGCTTCCATCTCCATCCAAGCCTATACCGCCCTAGCCAACCTCTCACCCAAAGATCTTGACGAATGCAGGAAAGATGCTGCCAAAGGCACCATCACCTTCCCCCCTGGCAAGTTGCACCTTAACTGCAACTTCCCAAGCCTCGCCCCACTCGATAACACCAAATGCTCCAAATGCCAACCTGTCTTGCACACCAAAACTATCCAGAAACCCACTGATGACGTCTTTGAGTTCAAGAAGTTGCGGAACTGTGGCAGGCCGTATCTCAGATGCTCCTGCCCTTCGCAAAATGGGTCGATCACATGGTTCGACCACATGTTGTGGTTCTACATAGCTAATCTCGACATCTTCGAGACTGGCATTCCCTCATATCGTATGAGGTGGATAGAACTCCTCGACAAATTCCAGAATGAGTGGAAGAAGCCTATAAAAATACAGGTCACCTTCCTCTACATGCGGAGACATATGATGAACCTCACACATCTCATTGCTGCCAATCCTCGTACAATGCTTCACAGCTGATTGACAGAGCTCCGTACTCCACCATGCCCTTCGCCAACAGCTTCGCAGCTACACTCATCCCGCAAACCACTAATAAGCAGCACCCAACCCCTTCCTCTGCTAACAAACGTGAAGACCCACCCTCCTCGAACATCATCCAGAGAAGCAGACACAGTCAAGTAACTATCCCATTCGCAAACACACAACCATCACCGCGAACAGCCAACACTTCCATGGACACCCCCACCACGACCAACGCTCAACCATCTGAGAGACCACACACTGCCCCCACCCGCGCCCCCACCCCTACACAACAACAACTCCATGCCGCCACCACAATCCACCATGCAGCTACCAACATCACCACCACTGCCACACCAGCCACAACACTCCCCAACGCCGCTGCCACAAATGCTTCACACAAAACGAGACGCGGAAATATCCAAGCAAACAAAAGATCACAGAAAGGAAGATGGGAAAAGAGAAAAGAGAAACTCGCAGCAATAAGGAGGGCGCAGCAGCAGCACACTGCACCGCAGGCACAGCAACAGCAGCAAGACTCACCTGCGCAACAGCAACAGCCTGCACCAACCCAACTGCAGCAGCAGCAAGCTCCTCCTACACAGGCTGGCAACAACCCACACCGTAATTCAAATGCACAGGCACTACAATTCCTCCAAAGCATCCTCCAGCTCCCCCCACGACAACCCCCACTCCTGCCACTACCCACCAATCCTCCCACAAACACGCGCATCACATCACAGCCAGCGCCCCTGCGAGCCTCCTGGCTCCCCACTCTCGCCAACTTCCTGACGCAACACATCAGCCCGCACAACCCAATCCCTGAAAAAATCCCCATCTCGCCACCGCCACAGGGTACTCGCCCACACAATCCAATTATCCTCGCCTCCCCCTCCCCGGACACCCCCCCAAGAGCTGTCAACCCCATTAGCTTCCTCCTAGAACCGTATGATGTGGAATGCTCCCTGATCGATCCCAATATAGACGAAAGGTACACCACAAACGTTGTACAAGAAACACCCGACATCCACAGCCTCTCCGAGACCATCAGGCACAACCTGACCGAGCAATTCGCCAGCGAAGGACTCTCCCTCACAGAAGACTGAAGGATCATGGCACCCTACCACCAAGACTCAAGGATAACTCAGGCCGCCACAATGCTTAACAAGGGGTCCGACTTCACTACAACATCCTCCAGGCAGGCGCACAAGTCAAGATGGCAATGGTACTCATAGCGCTTCCACTACCTCCGTCCGGATACATGACAAAAGATCACTTCCAAGATCAACCCTCCACGCTATGGCTCCACCACTAGTTCAGAGGAATTCTACAGGGATGCTCCATCATGCACAGCAACATGATACTGCTCCCTGAAACAGTCATTGTTGTAGCAACAAAGTCTTCCTCCTTCTCCCTGGCTCCCCCCAATTTTCTTCCCTCTCCCCCCCTCTCGCTCTCCCCTTCTCTTCTTGCTCTTCCGTAGGCTAGAATAACACAGCACTTTATGAACTGTTGTTTTTCCATTGTTTATGTAGGACACTAGGACTCTGATGCAGCCTCCGAACTGCATACCCTCCTTTCCCTTGTAGTCATAAGAGCTTCATGTTCACTCTTACGTGTTCACTCCATCCACATATTTTTCTTTCTTCTCTCTGGCCCCCCCATTCTATGTCTTTACTCCTCCATAGGCTTGAATAACACAACACTCCTTACTGTGCAGTTTTTTTCTAAAAAGACTGTTGAAAAACACTGGAACTCTGGTGCAGCCTCGAAACTGCATGACCTCCTTTTTTGTTTTGCCTCAATAAACCAAGGAAACACTCCTGTGTCCGCAAAAACATTTAGCATTATGACACCAGACTCTTCCTCCGAAGCTATGATCCCCCACCACCCCTTTTTCTCTCTCTCTCCCACCCTCTCTCTCTCTCTTCTTACTCCCCCATAAACTAGCCCACTCTATACACTCGACCTTCGGAAACCTTCCCACCATCCATACTGCTGATACAAACATACTCGCCCCGCACCCCCAACCCCAACTCGACTACAAATCTCCTCACCCTAGCCCCCAACGTTCTCTAAAAACACACCAACTTGAACACCACAATGAAACGACTACCCCCTAGTCCCCACCTCACCTATACTACACGATCCTCAACCCCCCCCCCCAACCCATTGTCTCCCCCCCAGAAAAAAACCCCACCCAAACAAACAGCACACACTCCCCTTTCGCTCTTTAAAACTCACCTCTTGTTTGCTGTCCTTGCAGGTCCTCCCGGACGAACTACTTCGGATGCCACACGGTAGAGTTGGTTGGCGTAGAAAAAATGAACCAATAAAACATACCATCCACATACACTACTCTAACCACTTGTTTGAAAGAATCAAGGTTAAAAAAATATTTAAACTCCTTCTCAATAAGCACAACCCTCAACACGCGCATGCTATCGACGAAATCACCTATGGCTGGACCTATGACAACCACATCTCAAACCGCCTCTACAGACATGCTGCCATCTTCTCCAAATTTGACCTCCAAAAATGGCACCAAGAACAGGGACAACGATGTTTTTGCCAGCACCCCCGATGGCTAAACTACACCACAGACTTAGCCAATGGCCTCCTTCCCCAATATATGGAACCACACGTAGTTACAATGGACACGACTATCATCAAGAATCCCACGCTAAAAGCTCTCTTAGGTAACGGACTCAACCACATCCCTCCCGTCCCACTCGACCCAGAACCTATCAAGAAAGAATGCCACAAAGCATGGGAAACAGACCCTAAGCATCATCTCCCAACAATTCAGCATCAACACAGATAATTTCACCACACAACACAAGAACTCACCAAAATACTCGCTAATTATCTGCAAAGGTACCCAAAGAAATCAGCACCAAACTTACACGATCCCGCACTCCAAAACGAAATTAGATTCTTCACAAAACACTTTTATATGGCCGGTGCAAACAAAGCACCCACCACCCCTGTAATCTGCTGCAAAAAC